TTTTTTCTTTTTATATTTTTCTTACTTTCTATTTGTTTTTTTTAATCTCTGTATTTTTAAACTGTAATAAATATTATTATTAAAAAAAAGGAACTCCAGGGCAAATACAAAACTCCTGAGTAAGCAGTCCAAGTCCTTCAAGGGTACTAAGCTGTCCCCAACTTTGAAGTGTGGTGTGAAAATATTGCATATCATATTCAGGTGCTTTTGTACTTGTGCAGTTGAGCCAAAGGATTGAGCTACTTCTGGCAGCCAACCCAACTCATGTTGATTTGTGCAATTGTTAGACCTGAGTTTCCAGTCTGAATATCTACCTAATATGCTTTCCCATTCTTCTACTGCAGAACAATGCTGATAATTTATTTATTGGGTTTTAATTAGTAACAATTTAAGGAAAAATTTAAAATTATAAAGTATATCTGACTGTAAAATTTCTCCCCCCCCCAGGTATCATGGCTATCTTGTTTTCCGGCATTGTAATGTCTCACTACACCCATCATAATCTTTCTCCGGTTACACAGATACTCATGCAGCAGACGCTGAGAACTGTTGCATTCATGTGTGGTATGTGCTATCTATTGCTTGGACTCTTATTATCAAAGCAGATTTTTCCAAATGCTTCCTAATTATCCTAACAGCTTTTGCAATGGCAATCTATGGGTTAGTGCACAAGCGAATGTCCATTGCCTATTAATTTAGTTATTTATATTTCAAATTTGTCAGCGCCCAGCTACTATGGAGTGACTAGCTAGCTTCTGTGAATAATTAGTAGTATTTTCCACACATTTTTATCCTACCAATTCACCAGGAGTTATGAGCAGTGAAGTTGAGAGTTATCTCTACTGCTATTCTTAAATTGTTATTGACCAATTCAAATTATCCAGTGAGCTTCATGATTTGCCAGAAGATTAAAGCCAGCCCTCCTACATTTATGTCATTCATTGCTCTGTTCATGAGTAAATAAGAGATGAAACTTTGATTTCATTCCATATTGTTACCAATGCATCACTTTCTGTTGGAAAAGCTGGCCCATTGTCAAGTAATCAAACAATGTTTGTGCCAATGAATTGCATATAATAGTATGTTTTCTTTTTATTACAATGTTAAGGCAAAGAAATGGCAATAGGTTAACATATCAGCATATGGATAAAATCAAAGATTTTTCTGGCCCAAGGGTGAGGGAACTTGCAATCTGGCGGGTGTTACGGAACTCCAGCTCCAGCCACTCCAGGCGATAATGAAAGAAGTTGGAAAGTGTAGTTCAGCAACACCTGCAAGATTGGGGAATACTGGTCTGAAAAATGTGTATTCAGTTCCTGGCATCTTTTTCCTGCAAGCACTGACTCATTCTCAAGTTCCCCATCCCTCATCTAGTCTAATGTCTTAGATGCTCCTGACCAGATAAATGTATTTAAAAAATAGTTTTGAAGGTTACAGCATATGGCTTCTCTATATCTCAGCAGGTGGCAGCATCTTGCTGTCCTTGCTTGGGCTCAGAAGGAGATTTTACATTACAACTTGGTGTATGATTACTCAGACATCGGTAGGCCCCATTTAATCCAGTAGGATTCCCAACTAAACATGCATACCATTGCAGCCTTAAACATTACAATTCATAGTCATTGATTGATCTATTCCTTGTGATTTCAAAGTCATTCAAGGATATGAATTGTGGATAGGAGGAAGCAGAGATGTTTCTGTAACTGTGAGCATTTCTTCTCCACAGTTCTCAGAACAGACCTACTAATATGGAGTCTGCCAAGCAGTAAAGTCACCTTTACTGACAAGGGGGATAAAATGTGCTGTAAATCTTTTCCTCCCTTCCCCTCCAGGCTCTGGCTAAGTCTTGCCACAAGATTGATAACAAAATAGATCTCTTTGACTCTTTTCTCCCCTCCAGGCTACTTTTAGATGATAAAGAGGCAACTTGCCTTCATTTTCATTAAAAAAAATTTGGCTATCAGGAAGCTATTTGGGAAGGAAAAAAAATTACAGGCAATAAATTCATGTGGAATTAATATAGTTCTCTGTACCCTGTCTCTTCTTAGGTGGCATAAGTTTTTAAATATATTTATTATTTGAAAGATATGAAGCTAAACACAGTATTAATGATAGGGACAGAGGTGAAAAAGACAGATCTTACAATTTCATAGATGTGGGAGTCAGAGGCAATGCTACAGAAAAAAGATAATGCCAGCACAAAACCTGCATTGCTAGATTAGATCACAGTTCCACTGATCCACTACCTGTTTTCTTTCACAACAGCCAACTAGATACTACCAGGAGACGCACAACCAGAACTTGTGGTAAACAGACTTTCCTGTGGTTTGCCCCATCATTAGGTGTGCCTCTTGTCTTTGAACATGGATATTCTGCTGAGCTATTAAAGCTAAATTAGTACCAAATCTGAATGCTGCTTTTTGATGTTTAAAGCACAGAGACACAGAAGATTGAACATCTGTTAAGAGAGGAAAAGAGGAAATAGCTGGGGGAAACAGAAGATCCTGAAAAGATTTCTTGCTGGCAAGATGAATCATACTGCAGTGTTTTGGTTAACACTGCAGTATGGTAGACCTAAATGTTGTGTGTTTTCAGTCTTTTTTTTTTTTTTTTTTAATGACTGGGCTCCATTGCTAAATCTTGTGCAGTGAATGCTAGGTTTTAAGAGAACCCTGTTGAAGAAGTCAAGCTTCTGTTGGAAGCGGCCCAGACCACTGAAAGTAATAATTCAATGAAAGAGGAATCACTAGTCCTTTCTTTTCTTCTTTTGGAAAAAGACAGGAGCAGTCTATCAGGACATCTTGAACATTTTTCTTTCTCCTTTTTCTGTACCATCTAGGCATATAAGAGACTGTATCTGCATCAAACATTTCTTTCAAAACTCTGAAGTTTAAAAAATTAAACATAGGGACTTGAATGTCCAGTGTGGTACTTTGTGATTACTCATTTCTGTTTTTTCTCTTTCAGAAACATGTGTTTTTGCATTTCTGGGCTTGTCAATTTTTAGCTTTCCTCACAAGTTCGAAATGTCCTTTGTCATCTGGTGCATAGTAGGTATCAAAGCTTATTAGAGTTTATTTGCTCCACCTGACCCCAGTCTGGCAAGACAGCCTATAGAATGTGTGACGGAGGACTGCAGTTTGTTTATTTGTTGCAACAGTGTGCATGCTGTCTACTCACTGGAATCTAGTGGGATTGCAATATTAAAAACAATGCAATATGTATGTATAATAACATCACAGACTAAATTATCTCTTCCTTCACTGTAGCCAGTTGAATTCCAAAGGACCCATGAGAATGACTCTTATGAGTCAAATTAGGCTCTTCTGGGAGAGCCAATGGGTGCATAGGACATTCCTTTGCCACTGGACACTGTCTTTGGGGTGAACAGTGGTTATAGGTCTGTTCTGAGATTAAAGGGCTTGTTCACTATATAATAGCCACTCTTATCTTGATTTCAGGATGTTCATTGATTTGCATAGCAATCTTAAATCTTAAGAGAAGGGTTATCCTTCTTATAACTCTGGTGAGATTGAACTCTGCATGCATCCTTATAACAACATTTGATAGTCTTAAAAGATACTATCGAATTCTTTTTGACTTTTGGCTACCGTAGACTAGCATCATTCTTCTCCTAACATGTTACTATTCAGTGAACTCGGTTCTGATTCAGTTATAAACCAACTTTGTATTTCCACTTTATTTATGATTCATTCTGAGGCAGTCAAGGCTACAAAGAAAGGCCTCAGCAAGAGGAGGCTAACTGCTAGAAGAGTGCAAGCCCTACTTTGTAGGATAAGGCCAACGTTAATTTGGTTTAGCATGCCGCTTCCAGGATTTCCTAGTCAGGAATTTCTGTAAACTCATAAGTAATGCATAATAGTGATGCTACATTTTGTTTGCCCTATGTATTTTATTGTATTTATTTATTATTTCAATTTATATAGCTGCCCATCTCAAATGCATGGCTCTGGGCAGCTCACAGCAATTGAAACTAATATAATAATAATATGTAATACACACACACACATAACATACAATATAAAATATTTGGAATTAAAGAAATATTCCTTTTACTCCTTGAATAGAAATCTTTATTGTCATTGTACTACTTGTACAACGAAATTAAATCCCACCCCAGTGCAGCTTTAAAAATATAAAAACCATAGAACACATAAAACACATAACACACA